GTGTACAGTAAGTGAGAGTGTACAGTAAGTGTACAGTAAGTGAGGGTGTACAGTAAGTGAGAGTGTACAGTAAGTGAGAGTGTACAGTAAGTGAGGGTGTACAGTAAGTGTACAGTAAGTGAGGGTGTACAGTAAGTGAGAGTGTACAGTAAGTGTACAGTAAGTGTACAGTAAGTGTACAGTAAGTGAGAGTGTACAGTAAGTGTACAGTAAGTGTACAGTAAGTGAGGGTGTACAGTAAGTGTACAGTAAGTGAGGGTGTACAGTAAGTGAGAGTGTACAGTAAGTGAGGGTGTACAGTAAGTGAGAGTGTACAGTAAGTGAGGGTGTACAGTAAGTGAGGGTGTACAGTAAGTGAGAGTGTACAGTAAGTGAGAGTGTACAGTAAGTGAGGGTGTACAGTAAGTGAGAGTGTACAGTAAGTGAGGGTGTACAGTAAGTGAGGGTGTACAGTAAGTGAGGGAATGTATTTTTGTCTGCCCCCAGGTGCCGGGTCCCTGAGGGCCAAGTTTGAACTGTCAGACGGACCCTCGAGCTTCTCCACCCTGGCAGTGCAGTTTATGAGTGAGGGGAGCACCCTGTCAGGGGCGGACATGGAGCTGGTGGGGGCGGGGTACAGACTGTCTCTCAACAAGAAGAGGTTTGCTACAGGTATGTGGTGCTGGATCATCCTTACCTACCTGATATTCATGTAATGCTCCAGCAACTCAAACCTTTGTTCTGTTCTGCAGGACGTTATATGGCCGATTGCTGAGGTGACCCAACACTCATGAAATCAAATCTTCAGACACAAACGGCTTCCTGAACCTCTGGATCCATCTGAGCTTTTGCCCGGGAGGCGAGAATCTCACTACAATAAAAAAGCACTGAGTATTGAACACTGTTTAAAAGAATAAAAGAAGACGAGCTTTCAGGAAATGTGTAGATATGAATTCTAATAATGCTTTCTGATCAACTCACTTGTGTATAGTCAGAAACAATTTATGAATTAGATATACATCTATATTGTATTTGAAATCAGAAAAAAAAAGTGCACTAACAATCTTTAACATGCTCTTCTTCCTCTTATAGTCATTTCTCAAGAGTCCATAGGGAATATAAAACAAAACCATGTCTGCGTGGAAGAAAATAATCTGCTCTTTTCTCTTTTCTGTGAACTGTAAATATTAACTCTGATTATTCTGCTCGACCAGCTCTGACTCAACGCTCAAATCAGTTCTGTTTACTGAACCTTTCTCTTTCCATGATTTGTCTTTTTCTCATCACGTGCAATGAAGCAATGAAGGTATAATCTGTCTTCGACACACACTTACACTATGGCACAAGCTTGATTTCTGAAAATAACAAGTGCTTTTTAACAAATGCAAAAAATCTGACCTCAGTGCCTCCTCTTATTCTGTGGATCAAAAGGCAAAAAAACGTGCGTCAATGATTGGCCCACATGTGGGTAGCTTTGAATCGCCCCTAGTGGGGTCTGATCAGTGGGATCTTTTTTAAATTCTATATGTTTCCCCTTTCAGTCATGGCTTATATTTTTACAATTCTTAAGCCCTTCATTTTTATACTTTTTGACTGTAAACATTGTGTCAAATGTCAGTTGCTTTAAAAAACGAATCAAGAGAGATTACCCTAAATAACTTGCAGCCTTTTTTTAAACTGGTGTTTTTTTTATCAAACTTTGGTTTCCTATTAATGGAGAAATGTGCCGGAATCAAACTTTTCTCTCATCTTGTTTGTATACTACAACACAGTCAATGAGAATAGCACCAACAATGTGCCAGTCTTTTTTTTTACTTCTACTATTTGGATGTTGAAGGGAAAATCTCCTCTTTTTACAACTGCCTTCCAGCAATGAATGAGTCATATTGGCCTTATTTGATTGAATGTAATCATCAAACTGTTTTATAGCTTGTATGTTTTCTATTCAACACTCGTCTGTTGACTTGTACCCCTCTCTCACAATGTAAGTGAGTAGAAGCACAATAAGGCCAAATTAATGATGGAAATGCCTTATCACAACGTTTTGACGCTGAGTGATCCTGTGTTGTTGACTGTGGTTAGATATTGTGACACAGTATTGCCATTGACCTGTGATACATTACTGGCCTGCCTTTCACCCAGTGCATGCTGGGAGAAGCCTCTTTTAACTATACACAGCACAACCGGGTATAGAAAATGGATGGATGGATGAACATGACCACGTTTGACTCTCGGTGCTTCATTTTTCTGTCTTTTACTAATGAAGGTTGCTGTAGAGGCTGCTGTACTTCTTGATGGAGTACTTTTATGTGTTTCATTGTCCAAACCATGTACTGATCCTTTCATTGGTTAAAATGCTGGTAGGTGTAGTCAGTTACGTGGAAGCTGTGATTCAAAATTGATGACCCTTTTTAGGGCAGGGGTTTCTAACACTGTGCCTCGTTTGGCCAACTGACCTCTTAGATAGGATTTTAGAAACTAACTTTTCACATCAGGCTTGTTTTTAACCGTCAGCCATAGAACAGGCTCAATATGGCAGGTCATTTAAGCTCATATCCATACTTCATTCATCCTTTGTCAAATGATCATTTATTTGATTTCACTCTTCATATCATTACCAGCTTTGTACAATTCTGGAACACGATTCAAGCCTTTATTAATATTCTAGAGGCAAACAATAATCCTTAAGTGGCGGATGGAAAGATCCATTTAAGTTGGTTATGCTGAAATGTTGTATCACTCTGAACTTTAACCAGGTGTTTGAAACGAATGAGTTCACACACAATCGTAGCTCCAGATATGTGTACAGTGAGACATCAGCGTGTAGCGCTGTGTTTCCCTTTGTAAAGCATACCTGTGGTTTGGATCAGAACAGCCAAATGCATAAAAAGAACAAGTAAACACATTTCATGTTCAGTATTAGCAAGCTGGTTCTTGCTCTCCTAACGAAAAGTACAAAACAAAGTAAAGAGGCTCCTTTTCCCTCACTTTCACATCCTTTCTTTCTTTATATGTTGTATTGGACAGAGTTTAAAGAGAGCATTATTGTGTAAATGATTCTCTTAAATTGTACATTTTTACCAATATCTCAGCCACTTTCTGTCTCAACTTTATGATTGCTCATTGTGTCTGTATTAAATGTGTAATATATGAATATATACAAATATATTAAAATGACTAAGGGTGTTCTGTGTGTTTCTTTTAGCCTCGCCATAGAGATCTAGAAAGAGCTTCAATCATATCTCAAAATGTACTCGTACTCTTCTTCACCATGTGAGTCTGTGGGTGTGTTTGTGTGTGTGTCTGCACTGATGTTGTCTTTGTTGACTACAACAGTGTAAAGTTCAACATGCAGTAACAAACAGAGCTGTGTGGTTGAGATTGATTTGAATTTGAAGAACAGGGTTTAGATACTGTTGGTCCATCCACTTGATGCACCTGGTCCGGTTTAGCATCCCGCCTGATGTGATCCCATTGAAAGATACTCAAGATCTTATTTTCTGCCTTAATTTGACACTTGTTCTGAAAGTTAAGGTGTATAAGGTGCAGGAAACGGGGGGCGGGGGCTATGACCATGCTGCAAGCTTAGCTGCTTGAAAAGTTATTTGAAATTGAAATTGCTAATATGGAGCAGGGTCGACTATGGTGGTTGCAGAAAGAAGTCTGGTTGATTGTTTAGAGGTCTATGAGGAAAGCCCCTTACTCTAACTTGGTATATTACCTCAGTGGACATTGTAAACATGAGTTTGTTGCCCAGATCGCTAGTTTCAAGTCTTTGGCATAACGTTATGATGTTCTTTTTGTAAATGATCTTCCTGTTTAGAGTAAAATAAAATATATTTAAGGGCCTGCTACCTTGTCATTGGTGTGTTGCTACCAAGGTGCAGTCCAGTCTGGGTGTTTAGGTTTTTTCTTGGATCTTCAACCTTTTGAGCAATGTGTTTTCAGTTCATTCAAGTAACATTTTTACATTCTGGTCCCCTTGTGTGTTGTGCTTTGCTCCAACCTCTCTTTTCACTTTTGTTGAATGCCAAAACGCCAAACCTAAGCACATGTAGCAAATATCCATCTACATCCCTGCAAAATATGCTGATGAATTGTTGTAGGCTCAAAAGTCTGGATTTTCAATAGCAACTATTATCCTTTTTTTCTTTTAAGTAAACACAATCCATGCAGGAAGACAGGGCATGAAAACAAAGCTAGACACCACCACACATGTTTCTGATGTAGGAACCTCATGCAGAGCTTTGCTTAGGAGGATGTATGCATGACTGTGCGTCCACGCTCAGCACTACATCAACACCTTGTCCATATTTACACACTCAGTCATGCCTTGTGTCCCTCGGCCAGAAGACCTCCTCCTCGCTGTTTGAATTCACCGCCTGAGCTGCCTTTTCACAGCCACATGTGTGAGCCATCAGTGTTGACTCCACTTTTCCCTGTCCGCCTCACTCAGACAAGGAGAAGGAGATCTTAGGCTTCCTCCTGTATGATGTTATTCTCTTACAGGCCAAAGTGAGATATCTGAGCTGCTGAAGTCATATTCAGAATCTGTTGGTCCATATGTAGACTCTGGTGTGTGGTCAGGCATTTTAAACAAGTTGAGCGGATCTTTGAGTGCGTTGATCACACAAGTAGAAGCCTTCTAGAGGGAAACGTGATGGAGAAAGCTTATTTGACATGATTTACCTGATTGCCAAGAACTAGATGAGAAGATTGATTCCACTCTCTTGTATGCTAAATGAGGCTAGAGTACGTTAGCTTAGCTTAAAGACTGCATACGTTGGAACAGATAGCCAGGCTCAGATCTAAGTTATTTTTTCGTATTAGTGTTGCTCTTAAGGCAGAAATGCTTATAAGTTTGAGTAACATTTTATTCATTTGTATCCCTCATAGTTGTAGGAGTTTAGTCTACAACTCAAAGCTTTTTAATCCAATGTTAGTGAACCTTTAAGTCATTAGTGTAATTTTCATCCACATTTGTATTTCTTAATTTGTCAGTTGTTATTTATTTTTTTAGTCTTTGTCTTCTGAGTGTAGTCTCAAATGTCCTTCTTCAGTCATCTGGTTAAAACAGTTTACTAAATCTAGATTAGCCAAAATATATGATTATTATTCATATAAGTCAGACTTTACATTATATATTTTCTTTGATGAAGAAAAGGTTTAATGACTTAGATCAGGGGATTGATCTTCTCCCAAATGTCAAACTAGAGTGTAAATCTGTGCTCTGGGATGGTGGATCTGTCTGGTGTCCATTAAGAGGGTCTGAATCATCTCTGTGAAACAGTGGAGCAGAGGGAGCATTTAGTCTTTGTTGTTCGGCATCACAGTTATGTTGGTCCAAAGGCCCTCTGGAACCATAGACTTGAGTTATTCTAGGATCCAGCGAGCGAGCCCCACATCAGTAACATTTATGGACAATTGAGAATTGATGTGCCTATTTGATCTCCCTCTTCTCCACTAGGAAAGCCATCTGAACAAACATGCATGGTGTAGGTTTATAGCACTAATATGGACGCTGCTTTTTCTTTGCTACTCCTGCTTAACTCCAAAACGCAGACGACCTCTTTAGAATAACTCAAACCCGGATCACGTCAGACTCCCTTTCAAAGGAATCTGTCAAATTTCCCTTCAACTCTTTTATTTTGGCAATAAAACCATGAACACAATTCACTGTTAATCAAGCTGACAAATAATGTATTACTTCAAAAGGACTTGGACAAACGTATTTAATCTGGCTGACACCGGGGTATCACCAATTTATCAGCCAGTCCATCATATTCAAAACACATGTGAGTGTTTTAATAGATGTTGGGTATTGTTGCCAGAAGTCAGAAGATTGAAATCTCTTAACAGCAGCTGCTTAGCAAGAAATGACAAAAATGAAATTTGTTGTGTAACATGTCATCACAAATACCCATGTGTGTTTTCTCCATGGGGGCATTACTGAATAAACCTCTCAGGGGGCCTCTAAGCCAGAACCATGCGTGAAGTTGCTCAGTCAAAGAGTTGTTCAGGTCCAAAACTGAAGTGAAGTATTTCTATGCATATCATTGAATAAGGAATAGTCAAAAAGAAAGTATAATTTTTCTCCTACAGCATAGATTTGTCATTGAGGTCCTTGCTCACCAGAGAAATGGCTTCTTTTGTTAGAATTGGGGAGACATTTGCGCCACCAAGGTGTGTGTGTGTATATATATATATATATATGGGTATATATATGTATATATATGTGTATGTACTGAGAGTGTTCATCATGGGTACTATCCCCCATGTTCAAATGGGCTTTTGCCCTGACCTTCTGGAAGTACTCCATTGGTTAAAAATTGTTATTGATCATTTGTAGACGGTTTTCTGTTTTATAAATTACTTTTGATAATGGAAGTGTAGAAGTTTGCAGAATAGGTTTCTTGGAAATCAGTTTCCTAGGGAATTGTTCAAGTGTGTGTGCCTTGTTAATTAAAAAGGAAATGTAATGCTAATTAGTGTGAATGCTGTTTACAACATTCCACTATAGTTCTTAAAATCTTTATTCTTCAACTTCATCTTATTTCAGTTCTTTTGTACGTTTTTTGCCTTCGAAAAACTTCAGCATACTTTCAGCTACAGAAACCATGCAAATAAAAAAAATATTCAGCCTTTTCTGCACATGATGGGAAACGTTCAACTTTTTCAAAATATATTATACTTTTTGAAATATTCAGCTTTTTAAACTCTTTTTTTAACATGTAACTCAATGGGAGGAACCTTCAAATCCTCTTTTACCTACACCGTGCGCCAAATGCTACTACTTCCACATACTTTCAGACTTTTGAGACTTCATTCCAACTTTAATACGGTCACAAGACCTTCAGCTATTACATTACATTACATTACATTACATTACATTACATTAAATTACATTACATTACTTTGCATTTAGCTGACGGTTTTATCCAAAGCGACTTACAATAAGTGCATTCGACCAGGAAGATACAACCTTGAAGAAAACAGAATCCTATAAGTACATCAGGTTTCATAGAGCCAAACATTTCAAGTGCNGACTTTTGAGACTTCATTCCAACTTTAATACGGTCACAAGACCTTCAGCTATTACATTACATTACATTACATTGCATTTAGCTGACGCTTTTATCCAAAGCGACTTACAATAAGTNCTTCCACATACTTTCAGACTTTTGAGACTTCATTCCAACTTTAATACGGTCACAAGACCTTCAGCTATTACATTACATTACATTACATTACATTACATTAAATTACATTACATTACTTTGCATTTAGCTGACGGTTTTATCCAAAGCGACTTACAATAAGTGCATTCGACCAGGAAGATACAACCTTGAAGAAAACAGAATCCTATAAGTACATCAGGTTTCATAGAGCCAAACATTTCAAGTGCTACTCAACTGGCTTTAGAAAGCCAGCCCTTTATTAGTATATAAGTGCTTTGTTAGTAATTCAATCGCTCGAAGTGGAGTCGAAAGAGATGAGTTTTCAGTCTGAAGAAGATGTGTAAGCTTTCTGCTGTCCTGATGTCAATGGGGAGCTCATTCCACCATTTTGGAGCCAGGATAGCAAACCCACGTGTTTTTACTGATGGGAACTTGGGTCCCCCTCGCAGTGCGGGTGCAGCGAGCTGTTTGGCTGATGCAAAGCGGAGTGCACGTGCTGGGGTGTACGGTTTAACCATGTCCTGGATGTAGGAAGGGCCAGATCCATTCGCAGCATGGTACGCAAGTACCAGTGTCTTGAAGTGGATTCTAGCAGTTACTGGAAGCCAGTGAAGGGAGCGGAGGAGCGGCGTGGTGTGGGAGAATTTTGGAAGGTTGAAGACCAGACGAGCCGCTGTATTCTGGATGAGCTGCAGAGGTCGGATGGCACATGCAGGCAGACCAGCCAGGAGGGAGTTGCAGTAATCTAGGCGTGAGATGACGAGAGCCTGGACCAGAACCTGCGCTGATGTCTGGGTCAGCTGGGGACGTATCCTCCTGATGTTGTAAAGCGTGTATCTGCAGCAGCGGGTTGTAGCAGCAATGTTTGCAGTGAAGGACAGTTTGTTATCTAGGGTCACACCCAGATTCCTTGCAGTCTGAGTCGGGGAAACAACAGAGGGACCGATGTTGATTGTTAGGTCAAGAGTGGGACAATCTTTTCCCGGAAGGAAAAGCAGT